TATTATTAATAACAATATTATTATTGTTGTTGTTATTGCTAATATGTCCATGAGAAAAAACAATAGTTTATTATTATCGTCGTTATGGCCATTGTTATTATTACTATTATTACCGCTATTTATTATCGAATCTTTACTTTAGTCTTGCAGATTTTTAACTGGCTAGACTGACTACTGTTGTATACTTAGTATAATTAGCTATAATTATAGTCAGTACTATGATTAGTATACTCTATCACTTAAATAAGTCATGCTGGGCCCAATTTTAATCAGAATTATAAACTTTTGGAAATTACCCGATCCTGTAGAATGAAGATATTGCAGGACGCATGTGATATAATCTAGAGCTGTCGTTATCAAAATATTTGTATTTTTAATATTAAGATATGCCGAGAAGATATCAAGTACAGTCGCTTGAACTGAAGATACTATTGTCACATCGCCAGCATTATTTTCCGATTCTGAAAAAACAAGTTAGAATTGAAAAATCGCAAAAATTTCTGCGAAATAACAAAACTTGGAAAAATAAGATTAAAACTTTTCATTCCTAAATTTTAGATGACAAATAAAATTCCTGATTCAATTAAACTTAAAAATAATTGGAAATAAATTTTTTTTAATGCTACCAAATCTTTAGTGTAGGAAGTTTTGAGAGTGAACAAGAAAGAACATTTTTTCAAACAGTTTTACTAGTGTAAAATTATGAAGTTCAAATATCCAACAAAAGCTAAAGTTTACTAAAGCAAATTTTAATTTCTAATTTTAGTAATTCTTACTTATTGAGCCATTCTTTTTCAGTCAATCCTAATTGTATGGTAATCAATAACTTAATTAGCATATGAATCAAATAGGATGATTTGGAAGGGAGATATCGTTAAATTTTTACAAGTTATGCCAAACTAAATTATTGGATAATTTGAGCAATTAATTAGTAACAGATGATAATTACGTATTTTCAAGCATGCCTGCATGATCTTCAATCCGTAATGCTTTCAAAGCACTAAACAACGATCGCCATCCGGAACCAATCATATTTGCATGTGAATGTACAAATGTTGCCAACAATGTAACAATTTGTTCCTGTGATTCCTCCAAACACATCTCTGCACAAAGAATATTCTGCAACAATTTTAAAAATCCAAAAAAAAATTCCGATTTCATCGTATTCATACAAGCTATGTCATTTCACAATAAAGTTCATTATTCCATTTTGCTGTAGGCGTCGAAAACCAATGTAAGAGAAAGTTGGAAACCCGAAATTTTACAAAAAATGCAGGAAAAACTTGATGTAAATAAAAAAGTTTAAATGTTATTTTATCAAATTTTTTACTTTTTCAAAAAAATTTTAAAATTTTCGATTAAGAATAGAAATAATCTCAGAAATTAATTTAAATGTTGTTATTTCCAAACTCGTAATGGCTGGAAGATGAGTTGATTGTAACAAAAGCCATTTGCTTCGTTAATCATTAATTTCGCTATGCAAACTCCCAAGCCTTCGATAGCAAAAAAATTTAACTTTCCATTACTGCGCAGCGAAGCAGACTGTAATAATAATAACCTTCATAGAAATGGAACATTCAAATTACTTTTAATTTAAAATCTTAATAATTTCCGTGACGAAATTAATCTCAAGAAAACGTACAAGGAATACTATTAATAAATTCAGGCCGATAACAGATAACCTATCTAAGGGATAGCAGTCGATTTGATGACCGTATATAAAAATGAAATGCTATAATTGAGAAGAAAAGTCTCGTGCAAATCTTTGAACTTTTTTAAAGATCTAAAAAAGGAAATTTTAGTGAAAAAAACTAAAATTTAAGCAGTAGATTATCCACCTGAACTATATGACACGTAATTTTAGACCAAATTTTCATCGTATGGATTAGAGGCCTAGTTGAAAGTGTCATTGAAATAGCAAATATCCGTCCAAGAATTACTGTCGGATCAGCCAATGAATTTGATTTTTGCGAATTCACGTAGTATTGGCAATTTTCACTAACTACCACCAAATTTTGCATTAATTCACAGAGTGATGCCAAATTTAACTCTTTGCCAACACGTTCATACAATCTAAATTAAATACAGAATTAGGATAATCAATTACGAAAAACTGAATTGAAGAAAACTGAACTCAATGTGAAATCAATTAGTAACAATCTTTTGAAGTTTAGATTTTTTTCATTCTGTTTCAGTTATTTATATTTTTCTAAATCGATCTTGATATTAGCAGTTAAAATGTTATCTTAAATTCTGATTAGTGATTCAAATTCAACATCAGTAGATTTAAATTTGAAAAATACTTCAACAAATTATTTGAAATTGATAAAGCTTAAAAAATTTTCTATTACACATTTCCTCATTGCGAATAGTATTAGCAGTATACAAAAACACTAAAAAATATCAAATTCAAAGAAAAAATTTATAGTACTTCTGCATTTTAGACCGACACTTCCAAACCACTAAAAATGAACGGTGGAGAATTTGTTGAAATTTTAATTTCTTTAAAATTTTTAAAAATTTTAATTTTTTTTGCTACTAATTTGTTAGATTTATGATTAAGGTAATTCACTCATTTGTTACCGTATTTTTCTCACGCTTACTTATTTATTATTGAGATCAAAAATTGAAGAATACGACAAGCTGTATGATTGTTAAGGTTGTCACTACTATCGCTCGGTAAGATATCATCAATATGCTGTGCCTTATCAGCCGTATCACCATTGAAAGAAACAGGTGATAACCAACTAGTCTGATCTTGAATTATGATACCAAACAAATATTTCTCCATTTCCAAGATATATTCAGTGCATCTACAAATCAAATTTCATCAGGTGAAATAGAAGAGAAAGAAAATCACTTCGTTTCATTTTCTTCCAAAATTACACTTTTGAATTTGATAAAAATTCTGCTCTAATTATTTCTGATGATGTGAAGTATGGTAAATCTTGACCAATTAATTAAATTATCATCAAAATAATGGCTGCAATTAGAAATCAAAAAATCTTATACAAAAAAATTGTAATCATAAACCATTAATTACATGTATTAAAAAATCCATTAAATGAAATTAATATTATTATTGGATTTAGTAGCAATAATTAAGTTCAACTTATTTATTACTTACCTAATGATATCATTCCAACATTTTGGTGTACGAAGTCCACAATCAATAGCAACATCTAAAATGGTTTGCATTGCGATCGCATCAGCTTTCCGTAATGGCCATCGATTAAATCGTTCTACGACGGAATCAACTTTTTCTTGAGTTGCAAAACTTCTCAATTCATCCAGAGGACATGTTGCTGCGACAAGTTGTGCAATGATTGACTGATTATGCTCTTCCATACCTGAACTTAAGCTTCATTTTTATTTAAAAAAATGTTAAATAATAGGTTGAACTTTGAAGCATCATAAAACTAAAGTAAACGCGCAAATTGAGTACAACGAAATGATACGGGGCAGAATAAAAGAACGTACGGGGAAAATTAAAGTAAAAGTCAAATTTGAAAACAAATTGAATTATAAAACGAGCCTAATGTAATACAAAGCTTAGCAAAGGATAATAACGCATAAATAGCTTGATCAAAAGCTTCAGCAGCTTTTGGACGAGCAATACGATGTTGTTTATTGCGTAAGGAAAGTAGCTTTGACGGTGCTGTTAGCAATTTATTCCAAGTTGCCAATAAAAGCCATCGACATGCTCTACACGCTAAAAATATTTATTCATTTCCAATTATTTATTAGCAACAGTTTCCGCAGCAGTTCATAATCTAATTCTTCTTCAGCAGCATAAATCAGATTTTAAAATAATTAATTGATTGATTAGGACATGTTATAGTTTTATACCATAAAATCAGAAATGATTTTTTGTAAGTCATAAAAAGACTAATTCAATTCTAATTAATCCAAAATTTTCAGTAACAAGCATACCAGCTAAGGAATGCTTACTCTGCTTTGTAAACATTTGCTGTATTCGTCGCACATCGCTCATTACTTGAGCGTTGTGCCCAGTGTAATCTGAAATTAATTTCAAATTTTAATCAAAAAACACCGATTAAATCTATGCCGGACTGAATATAATCTATTAAACGTTTATAGTCAAATTCAATTTACTTTCCGAATATGCAAAAATTCAAATATATAAGTAAATAAAAAAGCAATAAGTACCAAGAGGTAAAATAAATACACTAAAGTTAATTTTATTTCGAAATTTCAAAATAAAATTTAAGGAAAAACTTCTCATAATTTCATAAAATATACCTTCAATAACACTTATCAGTGGTATTCTAACATCTTCCAAAGATTTAATTTCCATTTTTAATTTTATCAAATTTTCATATACCACAGTAAGCCAATGATCACTGCTATATACAATACAATCACTATAGAGCACTTCATTGATGAACCAAAACTAAATCGAAGAATTCAAATAATCAAATTTAATATAAAGCTTTAAATATTTATTATTTATGGAAAACTTTGAATAGCAACATTTAATTGAATCTTAAATTGACTAAGCTTAAAATAAAAGGTTTTAATTTATTGAGTAGACCTAAAATCGTGAAATTTAAGAATGCAAATGTAAGCAGATCAAAGGAAATTGAGCTATTCATATAAAAATGAATTAAATGATCAATTTTTCTTGCTTAGAGGAGAGAATTTAAAAAAGATTTCAATCTTTCGAACAAAATTTATTACAGTAATTTAACCTTGTTAAAAGTTTGCTCGTTGTTTTCATAAAAAACAACAGCCAATGCTGCATAAGTAGTAAGATAGATAGCATCAGAATTCAGGAAATGTGATTGTGTCTCACCGTACAACTCGAAGGCATCCTTCTGAGCCATCATGAATTCTGTAATATCATTTTTTACATTTTCCGGAATACCACTCTCGCAAAGATATATAACGTTTGTTTTTGGTTCTTTTAGTCTATTATTATTGAATGGATGATTGATTTAACTAGCGAATATTAAATTTTAAATTAAATTAACAAATTCTAAATCTTATCTAAAAATATTGCGATAATCACTGTGCCGTATATGAAAAGGCCGGAAAATTGAAATTTCAATTGTTAATTCACCAGTCTCGTATAACAGAAATAAGGGTTTTCATAAATAAATAGGGTCCTTTTTTATTTTATTAATTCTTTTATTAAATTGAGGAACTTGAAATTTCGTTATTAAACTAGCAATTACACATTTCTGAACTATGTTTTCAGAAATCATGTAGTGATTTCTGGCGTTTTTTTTTTTAATTTTTCGGACCATTTAATTGAAATTTTCATAATTTTTTTAATCTGATCCGAAAGCAGACATAAACTTTGTAAGTGAACAATTTCTTGTTTTTTCTTGGCTCCTTTTTTTATTGCATAAATCTTGGAATTTGAAATTTCGTTATTCAGCTATGTGAAAGAATATTCTTGATTGTGATTCACTGAAAAAAAGCACCAGAAAAGAAATCGGATGCAAATTCTTGAATTGCTTCATCAACTTCAATTGTACTCCTAATTTGCAGCCATTTTGGAATAGCATTTCGCAATTTATTTATATAGCAGTTTGCTGTTTCTATTTCTTTCTGAAAAATTTTTCCAAGTAATTAAAATTTTCTTGAATATTTCTTTGAAATACAAACTCTATTCGACTTTAAGATAATTTACGTAAATTGAAATTAGTTTGGTTTGGAGGATGCACATTTGTAACATTAATTAAAGAGTTAATAATAATAATGACAAAAAGTGATAAGGATACTATTCATAAGTTTGCTTGATTTCAAAACCAGCAAACAATATAGTTTTTTTTTTTGGAAGATGGCAACCCAAAAATCGAAAGTTTTAACTTCGGACATTTCCTTATTCCATTTATGAATTGAATTAATTTTTTAGAAAACTGTATTATTTCTTTTGAAATTTGACGAACAAAGAATGAAACATTTACTTCAGCTAATTTATTATCGACGTCACAGCAATCGTTCATCACATCCGTTTCACTTCCCTTATATTTTTTTGATAATTTTTCGAGCACTTCGGTTACCTAAATTAATTATCAAAAACCTGAATTTCAAATGTAATCGGAAAGTAAATAAGATTTATCATGCAAACCTCGTCTGTACTTTTCAAATTTACCAATGAGTTATTTTGTTTTATTTCTGACTCCTTTAAATCGTCCTGCTTGTTGTCACGCTTTTCTGAAACTTGATCTAAAAGCTCTATTTTATATTAGTATTTTATTTAAAGTGTACATTTTTAAGATTATTTTACTGAATTTATATTGGAATGATACAGCCTAAGTAAAACAATACAAATGAAAATTCGATTTATCGGTTTTTAAGTTCTGACAAATTTTTTTTAATAATCTAAGAAATTTTGAAATTTGAACATCACGATAAATTTCTTGTTATAATGTTGAAAATTTTATAATACGATAGGAAAGAACTGCAGTGTTAAGAATAAAAGAGAAGAGAGGGAATTTCAGAAATAATCACAAAGAAATGAAAAAATGATTTCAAAATTTTATCAAATATTCGAACCATCATCGATATTTGAAGCTAATGAGATATCATTTGTTGAAAGATAGGCCATAATAGAATCAATAAGTTGCGCAGATAATATTCCATCACTATCCGCTTCACACATTTGGGATGCTGTGACTAGCTGGAAATTTTTTTTCCTTTATTAATAAATGAATGAGATAGATAATAACCTTTGACCTTTTTAATCCCCGAAAACCTAATTGTGCTTTTCAACATCAGGTCATAGAGATCGGATGAATTGAAAGAACTAACAAAATTTTGTAATGTTCGAAGTGCTTCTGAAGCTATTTCAATGTTTGTTGAATTACTGCATTCAACGATACAATCAACAATAATATTCCATAATGTTAATGATTTGCTGCTCACCGAAACCAAAATAATATCAGCAAGACGTTCTTCATTTTTAGTAATCTGAATTAAAAAATATCACAACAAGAATATGGTAATTAATTTCAAATTTAAAGAAGAATTGCAGGTATTATTTGAAGAAATATTACCAAGACAAACGAAACAGTTAAATTTTTTTTAAGTACAGTTTAGCTCCCAGATTTTTAAGCCACCCATAAAATATGTAATCGTTATAGGTTTGTTTAACTTCTCAAAAATTCTTGAAATTGTTTGTGTTTCTAGTAAAGTTCCAAATTTTTAAAATCTCATAACAGAACCTTCCGGATGATACGAAGAGTTTCAGAACGCTGATCCACTCTTGGATAGAGCAAAGCTTTATGAAATATTGCTTCTAACACGCTTTGCATTGCATGAACACCAGCAAGAATTCTTAGCAATTGTTCGACGATTCTGAAGGTGATATAATACAACACAATTTCAGAATAATGCAGGATTACATTTCAGAAAGTTACAAAATAGTAATGTCACTATATTTAAAAGAGTAATTACTTACTGGTACAGGGAGAGTACAATTTCGGGATGATCAAAAATCGTTTTACTATTTGTCGTCATTGACCTTTGGCCTCGTCCAAATGGTTCATTATCTTCAGCAACATCATGGGTATTCTTTTCCGGTTCTCCTAGCATTTTCATTATGCACGGACTTAATTCACGCCTACAAAATTAGGTTTTGAATTCCAAGAAAAAACAAAAATATTTCTTAAATTTTAATGAATTTCAAACTTTACAACAACTAATTAATTCGGGAATGTACCAAATAACATTAACGAATGGTTGATGATTGACAATAGTAACTGGCTGTGAACTAAGAAGACTATATATAGCATCTAGTAAGATAATAATTTGATCTGATTGGGGGTTTGTGACATTTGCGCATTTGATTACTTCATTTAGCAATGATGTAGCATCCATAAAAATGGCAATATGTTCCTGACAATGGCCATTCTGTAAAGAGAGAGCTTGAAGATTTAATAATTAAGTGATCTTTTGTTGAATGAATAGTTAATTAAAATTCAATCTTACCTTATTGATCACTAACTCATCAAAAACTAAATTATTCGAAAAAGAAAAGAGATAAGTAAATGAATAATTACTGCACTGATTATTTGCATATCAATTTGATTTGATAGTTATTTTAACTTTATCGCTTATCATATATAAATGCTTTAATATTATGCAAAAGAATGGAATGTCATAAAAGAATGAAAAAATGGGTCAATTTTTGCTTAATTCGTTTATAGCGTTAAATAAAATTTCACGAATCTATCAGTAACATTTGATAATAATAGGCTTGTGATAAAACGTTAAAGTTGATGATTAACCTGCGGTAATGTGCAAAAAGAGCTAAAAATCTGAGTAATAGCTGCGCGACAAGCCAACCGAACACTTCTTTCTTCCGCATTCTCAAATGTTTGCATACATAACTAAAAAAGCGCTTTTTCAAAGACGATTCATTTCTAGTTAGTTTTTCGTAAGCATTAAATTCAATAAAAGTACTTTTTAGATTAGATATAATGTCTATGAAAATTTGAATTAATTAATAGAACGTAAATATATATAATTACGTTATGTTAATTAGAAGGGAATGAGAAGAGAGAAGATAAAAAAGTAAAAAGTGTTATTTCTATTAATTGTTTGATTTAAAATAACTTATATTACCCTGCTTTTGATAATTTATCTATCACTACGAGTAGAAGTCGAGAAATTTCAAAAATTTATCGTCCTTTCTTAGCAAATTGTCTGGTAATATGATAAAAAGTAACCAGTTCCAATTTTCGAAAAAATTCAGCAACAAGTTTTAAACTGATTAACCGTTAGAGCTTCCATTACAGTTTCGATTGTAATTCGTCGTTCTTCTTTGCACATTATTTCAACAATTAGCTATGAAAAAGATAATACTAATACACTCATATTTTTGCTAGCAAATTTTAAAATTAAAATTAAATAATAATTCAAATTAAGACTGAAATTTAAAATCAAATCTTAAAAACTGAAAATAAGCAATCTACCGTGAGAATACGACATTGGATGGGAGCTTTGATTACTGGTAATAAAGTAAGAGACTTTAATGCTGACATAACCAATGTGTCACTTTCAGTAGTTACCGCTTTGTTCATAAAACGTTCGTCTCGAATTAATGTCTGAAAAAAAAACAGAATGTGAAAAAAGTTTTTCTCATATTAATATCAATAAATTTATATTTACAAAATTTAGATTTAATTTTCATCCTTTCTCATACCTAAGAATCAAAGGGATCCATATAAATGATTTAAAAGAATGATAAATTTTATAGTTAAGCAATGTAACAGCATACGACTAAATCAGTTATCAGAAGTACTATATAACTTCCTTACCGGATTAAATTTTTAATTATCAATAAAGACTTTCTTATGGAGGACAGGTCCGATGCTCCGGTACATTTTAAAAGTTAATTAAATCGATAATGTAATTAAATTAACATTGATGACACATTTTACATTTAGCTTACTTTCTAATCAATCAATGCACAATTAAAACTTTTGTTGCAGATAATTTATTTTGGGAGTTAAATAAGTTATTACCTGAAATAAATCAACAGCAGCTTGATTAATTTTTTGATGCTTGCACTGAAGTGCTAATTGTAGTATATGGAAACATTTACCGCACAATGTAACCATCGTTATATCATCGTTATTCAACATTTCTGTAATTTTTATGCATAAATAATTGTGTGATATGCAACTCCATGATATAGAATAATAGAGTACTAAATATTATTATCAATCATTAATCATTTATGATTAATAATTGGTAATAACATCCAGTACAATATATTCGGTACACATATTTTATTTGGGATAGAATAATGGAAATGCAATATGAATGTTTTAGGATAATTAATATCTTAATCATTTATTAGTAAAATATTGCAGTATTAATTGATTTTAGTCGTTTTTTGTCACTTGTTATTGAAACAAAATAAATGAAGATGTATGAAATAGTGTATGATTTAAAAAATTCTCTTTCATGTAAAATCCTAACCACGCGTATTTTTTGCAGCGGCGCAGAGATCACGAAATTTGGCTGCAGAAAGATTGGCAATAGTTTGCAAATGCTCATCCATTGAAATATGATAAAATTTACTGAAGCACAATGGCGTACGTCATTTGCTAATAATCATTGGGAAAATGAAGTGAGCTCTGGATCGATGGTTCATTTGACTTGCTATCATTTTGAGCTTCTTCTTGACATTCTAACTCAGCTGGTTGGTATTGATCCAACCTTGGCAACCATAGCATGCTAGCTTTTATGTCGATATCAATTCCTTAGCAGATTCTATTTAATATGGAAAATTCTGATACTTCAAAGCTAAGATGACTCATTTCTCTGATATAAGTCAAATATTCATGGAGCATATTTGTTAAATTACTATGTATTGAGAAAGCAATGAGTTTTGGTAGGCTAAACTTGGGTTATACAGTATTAAAAAAAGAATTTTTCTAACCTGAAAATCTTACAAAATAAAGGATAATTCATAAGACATAAGCAGAAGTAGGATAGTAGAAATGACGTAAAAATCCGAAACAAAAAAAGAAAAAAGAGAGAAAACATTAAAAGTTTACGTTAAAGGGTATATTAACGATCCGGGTACCTTGAAATTGCGACAATGCCGTAAACTTCTCTTTTGGATCTTTGGATGTTATGCATTCTAAGTTTCTATTTTTCTTAGAAATAATTTATTATAAAAATAAAGTTGCAAATATTTAAATTATGAAAGCGATAAATTTACTTTACAGTACACATATATACGCAATGTACAATGCTGCTCATGTAAAATTTTCATAAATCTTCAATAAGTAATCTAATTGCATTCAACAACCTAACATCTAAACAAATTGCTTGCATTTTTATATCAAAAACTCAAAATTAATCAAACTGGGTTTAGAAACTAAGTAGAATATTAATTTGGCAATTTATAACAACTCAGGAATTCAATCCAACATAAATCTAGATTTGAATTTGAAAAACACATTTCCAAAATTTGAAAAACATAATATTTCCAAGAACACAGTCTAATTAATAATTAATTGATGAACGTCATGCACCATATCAGTAAGTTTCGTTATTTTTGCATTCACTGATTCATCAATAAGATGTTCAATTTTTTGTTCAGCCAATTCGTCAGTTAATGTCAAATGGAATCTAAAAGAAAACATAAGAAATCCGATGGGCTGTAAAAATAAAACAAAAAAAAGAAAACAGATCAAGAAATACTTTAAATTCCAAAAAAAAGTGCGAAATACAACAAAAATATGATATTTATGAGAAAAAAAAACCTATCTGAACAAATTTATATGTTTGTCTGTTACATACGCTAAGAAGATATTTCCACCTACCATATCTTATTGTTTTTTAAAAATAGGTCAGGAAAAGCGTACCTCTGTTCAACTTTCTGCACTGCTTTTTCCTTCTCAATTGCAATATCCGGTATTCCGGAATCCAACATAAGTGAAAATAAATTCAAAACAACATTAGCATGTCGTCGTAAAATGCGAAATGCTGAGAAACAAAATCCTCGGAATTCTTTCCATTCCTTACTGTAAAAAAACATGAAATTTATAAAAAATTATCCTCTTTTCTTTTAAACCCATGAATGCATATTAAAATGTATCACAAATACAATGGCTTTTTACTATTCCTTATAATTATATGACTCAATAGTTTTAATTTTAATTTTGCAAGTTACTAGGCAAATTGTGAATTCAGCAGCAGGCATGATATTGTCAAACGCAATACGGTTGATATTGCAGAAAAAAACCTTGCCATCATCATATCAAGATCGCATAAGTTCACTAACTAGATGTTAGTAAGATGAAAATAACGACCCAAATTCATTAATGAAGATAAAACTAAATTTTATTCCCATTATGCTTGAAACAACATCTCTAACATTTTTATTTGATAAAAGCTCTGCTTTGGGCCTGAGCTTTTCTCTTCATCATTGCAAACTTTTAATAAGATAGGCATAGTTCAAACAAACCTATGCAATCCGCCCATACCATTAACCATTTCACTAGTCAATTTCATTGGTGGTGGAGCGAAGGGTTTCGGATCTCTTCCCAGGATATAACCAAAATCAACATGGAACATTTTTCCATTTTCACACAACAGAAGATTGTGCAAATGTCGGTCACCTGGAATGAATTAAACCAAATTAGTTGTGCAAAATATATCGATAAATCATTCAATTATAATCGAATCAGAAAAACAATTTAAAAATTTATTCACATTAATTCTATAGAATCAAAGCTTTTAAATTCCTATATATCCTTTTAAAATTAAACTATGCTCAGCAATGAATGGTAAGATAACAAGGAAATGAATATAAAAATTTACCAATTCCCAATATATAGCAAATAATCGAATAGCCAGCACAAGAACGAATATAATTTTCAACAACTTCTGTTTCGATTCCAAACGGTCCACTAGGAGAAGGACGAAATGATCGAAGACATTCCTGAAAAAAAATAAAAATAATGTGAACGAGTTTCTGGGTAAAAACTGATCTAGTATTTTTGAACAAACAACTTGATATTATTGTGGTTCGCACGTACTTGACAAAACCAACAACATAACATTAGCATAATATTGAAAAAGGCACATAGTAAATTATTTTCAAAATGATTTTAAAATTATTATGGCTTCTTTAAACAGATGTCTGGAAATGAACAAAAACTTGTAGGGAAGAAATTAATGAGTTTGCCGCACCGTTAAGACACAATACCCCTTGAAAAATCTTTCAATACTTGAACAATTTCATAACATTAAGAAATCATCACGTATTTTGATCGTATTTGAAAAGACACGTATTTTTACTTGAATATAATTGATAATAATGTTATTCCTGAAGGAATAACTAACTAAAAAAATAAAAGAAAGAAATAATCGCTTTCGTTATTTATAACAGAAAAAATGTGATCTATCGACTAAGCAAATAATAGAATGTGATCTATAGACTAAGCAAAAAAAATTTTTAAATGAATGTAGTAGATCAAGCAACGAAGAGCAAAAAATTATCCTCCTATGGACCGTTCCAGAAACTTCAAACTGTAACTTTTTTCTTACTGTCACCAGAATTTGAATTGAATAGTTGAGTTCAGTAATAATGACTGAAAAATAAATCATACCAACAATTTACCTGCACGGTACCCCAATTTGAAATCACTTCACGAAGAGGAATTGCTTTAACAAATTGAACAAACCCCTCCGAAGTAGATGTAGCAAGAACCGAATACGGTGTTAGACGTAAATCAAGACCATCTGATCGAAGTAAATCATCCATTAAACGAATCATTTGTACGATCAGCTGATCTTGCCTGCAAAAGCACTTTTACTTAATTTCTACACAAGAAAAAATTTTGTTTTGAAGTTTTCTTCTAAAAAATAGATTTATCTACAATGTGAAAGTGATATTGTAATCTCTGAAGAGATATAAAGCTTAAGCATCCGACCTTAAATCAAATTAAAAATAATCCGAATAAGGGAGAATAGTATCAAAGTGCTGAAATTAAATCTCATTAATATCTTATATTGATAGCAATTGATAGTAAAACTTCGCGGTTTAAATGTAGTTGAAATTTATGGATGGATTGAGAACTTTTCTAGTTTAAATTGATTTGAATTTAATTTGATGTTGCCACAAAAATACCTTAAGTCGTCGCCTCGTTTGAAAATTGTCACATAATTTCCGTTATTTTCAGTTTTAAATGTAAGTTTCATTGGCATCAGATTGCTATTAAAGAGTGTAGCCGTATCAGGTAACAGCGCGTTTACACGTATCGTTGGGTCCAGCGGTAATGGAAGACCGCAAAGATTAAGCAAATCATGTTGCTCGCGTAAGGAACGCCGCAAAGCTTTTTCTTTTTGACTTCGTCCACCACTTTCCTGTGATACGAGCTTAGCCATCGATACCAGGATTTCAATTAAAATCTAAAATTTTTTTCTTGGCTAAAAAAAAAACAATTTAAGAAGCATTAATAGTTTTTTCAAAATTCGTTTCAAGATTTGAAAAAATTACAAAATTTGGACCGCTAACTGAAAGACTGAAGAAAAAGAAGATTTCATAACTTTATATAATTTTCTTCTAAAAAAATGAATTCGAATCACAGACAACGTAACCAAGATAAAGATTTAATGGTAACAGCTTTTTAGATAACACATTAACAGATCATTGGAAAAGTATATTCAACTGTAATGACGTAACAAAGCTGCTATTTTCAAAAAAACGTTTTTTATAAAAACTGAGATTAAGTAAAAAAGTATAGGGATTTCTATAAACAAGTGCTTTTGAAACACAATTCAATATCTTCATGTTAATTTTAGAATTATCAACCTCCTGCTGATCAAGTGAAACAGCACGTCTCCTCAAATCACTACCACCGCTTCGTAGTGATGATAATAACAATGACAAAACGTAAGTGTACATGCGTGACATAACTGTATCGACCTGCGCTGTTGCTTCTATCTGTAATTTTGAACTTGAAACTTCATTATAATGATATCTTCATGAAAATTCAAAATTATGTGAGAATAAGAAAGATCATTGCGCAGGTGAAAAAAGTCAAAATTTTAAAAATAAAATTTAAACTTACCTCAACTTTGAGGTACCAATAGAGGTAGTAAGTGATAGATGGATTACTACAAGCAGAACGTATCAGAAATGACGCAAGATCATCGCCTGTTAAGCACTTTTGCATGGCCTGTTCAACCGTTTGTTGATTATGCATTTCCAGACTGCCTTCAATTGTTAATTCACCATTCTTCCTTTTGGTATCATCAGTTTTCTTTTGAATTTCCTTTTGTTTCTGCATTAGATTATAACATTCACTACTTTAACAAATTTTTTAACAAAACGTACTGACGTACAATTTTAGGTTGTAGCAAAGTAATTTGAGTATTTCAGATTCCTGATGGCGTATAATGGCTACGTAATCCATGTCAACTCTATCAAATATTATTCATGCCACTCTTTTATCTTCTCAGCGGCCTTAATAAAAAGAGCATTAGTGAAAAAGTCTGAAATATGATCTCGTAATAATCTTTATTGTATAACAAATCAAAAGA